CATCAGAGAAATGCAAATCAAAACAACATTGAGATACCATCTCACGCCAGTTAGAATGGCGATCGTTAAAAAATCTGGAGACAACAGGTGCTGGAGAGGATGTGGAGAAATAGGAACACATTTGCACTGTTGGTGGGAGTGTACATTAGTTCAACCATCCTGGAAGACAGTGTGGCGATTCCTCAAGGACCTAGAAATAGAAATTCCATTTGACCCAGCAATCCCATTACTGGGTATATATCCAAAGGATTATAAATTGTTCTACTATAAGGACACGTGCACACGAATGTTCATTGCAGCACTGTTTACAATAGCAAAGACCTGGAAGCAACCCAAATGTCCATCAATGATAGACTGGACAGGGAAAATGTGGCATATATACACCATGGAATATTATGCAGCCATCAAAAATGATGAGTTTGTGTCCTTTGTAGGGACATGGATGAACCTGGAAACCATCATTCTCAGCAAACTGACAGAAGAGCAGAAAATCAAACACTGCATGTTCTCACTCATAGGTGGGTGTTGAACAATGAGAACACATGGACACAGGGAGGGGAGCAATACACACTTGGGTCTGTTGGGGGGAAATAGGGGAGGGATAGTTGGGGGTGGGGAGTTGGGGAGAGATAGCATGGGGAGAAATGTCAAATATGGGGTGATGGGGAGGAAGGCAGCAAATCAAGCTGCCACGTGTGTACCTATGCAACAATCTTGCTTGTCCTTCACATGTACCCCAAAACCTAAAACGCAATAAAATAAATTTAAAAAAAAAAGAAAAGAAAACAATGCCTTTCCCAGGGCACCATCACCCTAGCTGTTCAAGAGTGTCCTCTGAGGGAGAATAAAATGTGAGGCTCCCCCAGACAGAAAGGCTGGGAGGCTTCCCAAGGGAGAGGCTGTTCCATTCTAGGGACCTTAGGAGGCCAGGCGGAAAGTCTGGGTGACAGCAATGTTGGGGGTAAGTCCGAGGTGATGGGGAGAACAGGCCTCCTTGCATCATGAACCTGCCAGCCCAGCTGTGCTGTGTGTGCAAATGCTCACTGGGATAGCTGGAATTCTTAGCAGATATTTCAAGAAGCCAGGAGATTTCTGGGCAGTTTAGTGAGAATTGAAGCAGAAATATCACATTTCTTCCAATTTCTGAGAAAGTGCCTATTTTTTTTGGAACTGGTTGTTTAATGAGGCCAAGAGAACTTTCCATGCATCCTTTCATCCACTCAAGAAATATTTATTAGGCTCCAGCCAGATTCCAGGCTCTGTACTGGGTATTGAGGAGCTGTTAGTGGACAGAACATCGTCCTCATAGTTCTCATCCTCACGGGGAGACCATACAAACAAATGGAGAAAGAAATTCATAATTATAGATTTTGAAAATGCTCTGCAGGAAACTAACTGGGTGTGATGCTGGAGGAAGATGGGATGATGGGGTGAGATCTAGTTTAGATTGGGTAGTCAGGAAAGGCCTTTCTGAGAAGGGACATTAATCAAAAACCAAATAGAATTCCACTATACACGGAGGCACATGTGTGATCCTGAGAAGAAGTTGCTGGTAAATTAAACACTTGCAAATCAAAGTGCTTGGGAGGTGCAATGCGGAGAGCCTCTCTGTTGAAAGGAGCCTGCTGGAAAGGTGGCAACGGGCCTGGTCCTCAGCATTATGCATGCTATGTCTGATTTCCTCACTAACGAATTCTATGAACATTTAACGTGTCAGCTAGTGTGCAGGGCACTGGGACAAGATGATAAGAAAGCACACCTCGGGAGCTGCAGTGGCTCTGGCCACTTGTCCTGGCGCTTGAGGAGGCGAGGCTATGCGTTCAAGCCCAACCTGGGCAACATAAGAACCTCTCACTCATTTAAAAAAAAAAAAAAATTTAAATAAAAAAAATAAAAAAAGAAAGCACACCTCACTCTTGTCCTCATGGAGCTCACTGTTTTTTCTTTTTGTTTGTTTGTTTGTTTTTAAGAGTTGAGGGTCCTGCTCTGTCACCCAGGCTGGAGTGCAGTTGTGCAATCATAACTGGCTGCAGCCTCGAACTCCTGGGCTCCAAGCTGCCCTCTCACCTCAGCCTCCTGAGTAGCTGAGACTAGAGTTGCAGGCCACCTTGCCTGGCTGATTTTCAAATTTTTAGTAGAGATGGTTTTGCTATCTCGCCCAAGCTGGTCTCAAACTCCTGGCCTTAAGTGATCCTCCTACTTTGGTCTCCCAAAAACACTGGACTTCCTGGTGTTTTTGAAGCTACCGGGCTTGCAGTGCTACCTGTTAAAGGGGAGGCAGGAAAACCAGAAAAGTGTAAATTGTGACAAGAGCTGCGTAGGAAGAATGCAGGGGGCTATAAGAATAGTGGATCATTTACTCTAGGCTGGGGAGAAAGAGACCAATTAAGAGGTAGCTGCAGTTGCCCAGAAAAGGGATAATCATGGTTTGGAATAGGGATGATTGCAGAGGAGTGAGAAGTGTTAAGAATTTGGTATAGGCTTTGGAAGTTGGATTACAAGACTTGCTGATGGATTGGATGTAGAGAGGTGACTCCTTTATTTTTCTCTTGAGAAACTGGATAGTTGACGGTATCATGTATTCAAGTGGAGAATCCTGGATGGAGGTCAAGTTTGAGGGGACTGATAAAGAGTTTAGATTTGGACATGCTGACCTTAAAATATGGTCAATTGGATATGGAGAGTTGGTGCTAAGACAAATGGTTTATACATGTTAGGGTTGTAGTAAGATGATGAAATTGCCCAGTGAAAGAACAGAGAGATGAAGGAGAAGTGGATCCAACCCCGAAGACTCTAAAATGTATAGATCTGATAGGCACTGAGCTGATTTCTTTCCTCCCTCCCTCCCTCCCTCCCTCCCTCCCTTCCTTCCTTCCTTCTTTCCTGTCTGCCTGATACTTTCACTCTTGGTGTTGTGCATTCTATAGGTTTTGACAAATGTATACTGTAACATGTATCCATGATTATAGTGTCATACAGAAAAGACTCACTGTCCTAAAAATCCTCCGTGCTCTGCCTGTTCATCCCACTCTCTCCCCCAACCCTTGGCAACCACTGATCTTTTTAGGTTCCATAGTGTTGCCTTCTCTAGAGTGTCATGTAATTGGAATAATACAGTATTCACACTCTGTAAATTTATATGAAACCTGGAAAAGACACATCTATCGTGACAGTAGATCAGGGTTACTAGGGTTTAGAAGCAGGGATATTACAGGGAGGGTGGTTGACCGGGAAGAGATACAAGGAATCTTTCAGGATGATGAAAATATTCTACACCTCTTTTTTGTGGTGGCGATCATATGATTGTATACATTTGTCAAAACATAGAAGTGTACCCTTAAAAAACAAAATCATTCATAATTCAGGCATCCAGAGTCCGTCTCGGTAGCATTCCGGTGTGTGGAGTCCTCCTGCATTCTCTAGGGCCCCCAAAGCCTTGTTTGTTCTCTTCAAGTGTAGATAAATTCAGTGGCTTTGCTTGTTAAATGCAGTTACTGCTTTCATTTACTCAAAGACTCATCTGTAGACAGTGAGAGTTATTTCTTACAACTTTGTCTCTGTGGTTTTGTTTTACAATGGAAGTCAACCGAGTTCTTTAGCTTTCTGATACTCTAGTTTTTTGTAAGCCCACTCAGCTGTTTAGCCTGCATTATTGATTTAAGATTTTTTGAGATCTGATGCTTTTTTTTTTTTTTTTTTGAGATGGTGTCTCGCTCTGTTGCCCAGGCTGGAGTGCAGTGGTGTGATTTCAGCTCACTGCAACCTCTGCCTCCCGACGTTTTTTTTTTTTTTTTTTTTAATACAAAAATTGGCTGTGTTTGGTGGCTGGCTCTAACCCCCGCTAATTTTTGTATTTTTGTTAGAGGTGGGTTTTACCATGTTGTCCAGGATGCTCTCGAACTCCTGACCTCAAGTGATCCACTTGCATCAGCTTCCCAAAGTGCTGGGATTACAGCCATCATGCCCAGCTTCTATCTGATGCTTATTATTTGTTAATGAGGTAGACTGTTTTTTTCTAGTAAGTAGTCGGTTTGTCAGATTTTAAGTTAACTGTTTAAGAGAATATTAAAATTAGATCATCTTGAGAACTGCTTAGGTTTATTCAAATGTAATTTATATTAGAATCATAGAATGTTAGAAGCAAACTTCTAAGGGTGAATGCTTTAAAGTTCTTTGACTCAGCTGTAAGTCCATTCATTCATTCATTCATTCATTTGAGACCAGGTCTCATTCTGTCACCCAGAGTAAAGGCTGGAGTACAATGGCATGATCATAGCTTACTGTAGCCTTAACATTTTGGGATCAAGTGACCCTCCCACTTTAGTCTCCTTGAGTAGTGAGTAATTGGTGCATGCAACCACGCCTGACTAATTTTTTTTTTTTTTCACTTTTTGTAGAGATGGAGTCTCACTGGGTTGCCTAAGCTGGTTTTGAACATTATTTATTTTTTATAGCAATTTTGTAAGTGAATTTAGTGATGAGCTGATGTGAGATAGTTGACAGGGTAGTCATCTTGATATGGGGACTAGTCAGAGAGTGGCGATTGTTAAAAATTGGATACCATGGTTTAAATCAAACAGAATATGTAGAGAGAGATTTTATTTAAGTACAACATGGTTGACTGGTCTCATCATCTGCAGTCATTTGAACTAGAGAAACCTGTTCTAGAGTGTTCTTATTTAGATGTTTTTCCTCACCCATCTTGAGTGTTCTTGTTCTGTCTTAGGATATGGTCTACCAGATGACATTGTGATAGAAAAGAGGGGCAAAGGTGACACTTTTGTGGACTGCACGGGTGCTGATATTAAAATCTCAGGCATAAAATTTGTTCAGCACAATGTTGTAGAGGGAATCTTAAGTAAGTATCTGAATGTTTGATGTATTGTTTCTTCTAAGCTTTGAAGGAAAACCGTACTCTCTATGGAAGACAGAATTTAACGAAATGCCACTCGAGTACAGACATACCTTGTTTTGTTCCACTTCACAGATCCTGAGTTTTATACAAATTGAAGGTTGTGGCAACCCTGTTTCCAGCCAGTCTGTTGGGACCATTTTTCTGATAGCATGTGCTCACCTTGTGTCTCTGTGTCACATTTTGGTGACTCTCACAGTATTGTAAGCCTTTTTAAAGCACTATAGATGATATGCTGATCTGTGCCTGGTGATCTTTGATGTTACTACTGTAATTGTTTTGGGGTGCCATGAACTACATCCATATAAGATGGTGAATTTAACTGACAATTGTGTGGGTTCTGACTGTTCCACCAATCAGCCATTCCCCTATCTCTCTCCTTCTGTTTGGACCACTCTATTCCTTGAGACACAGCAATGTTGAAATTAGACCGGCTAATAAACATGAAAGGAAGAGTCACCTGTCTCTCACATTAAATTAAAAAACTAGAAATGTTTAACTAAGTGAAGAAGGCACGTTGAAACCTGAGATAAGCTGAAACCTAGGTCTCTTGTGTCAGTTGGCCAAGTTAAGAATGTGAATGAAAAGTTCATAGAGGAAATTAAAGGCACTACTCTGGTGGACATATAAATGATAAGAAAGTAAAACAGCCTTATTGCTGATATGGAGAAAGTTTCTGTAGTCTGGATAGAAGATTAAATCAGTTACCACGTTCCTTTAATCAAAGCCTATTCCAGAGCAAAACCCTAACTTTTTCAATTCTATGAAGGCTGAGAGAGGTGAGGAAGCTGTAGAGGAAGAGTTTGAAGCTAGTAGAGGTTGGTTCATGAGGTTTAAGGAAAGAAGCCATCTCTATAACATAAAAGCACAAGGTGAAGCAGCAAGTGCTGATGAAGAAGCTACAGCAAGTTACAGAAGATCTAGCTAAGGTAATTGATGAAGGTGGATATACTAAACAACACATTTTCAATGTAGATGAAATAAACTTCTATTGGAAGAAGATGCCATCTAGTACTTTTCATAGCTAGAGAGAAGTCAGTGCTTGGCTTCACAACTTCAAAGGACAGACTGACTCGTTAGGAGCGAATGTAACTGGTGACTTTAAGTTGAAGCCAGTGCTCATTTACCATTCAGAAAATCCTAGAGCCCTTAAGAATTATGCCAGATCTACTCTGCCTGTGCCTTAGAAATGGAACAACAGAGCCTGAATGGTAGCACATCTGTTTATAACATGGTTTACTGAATATTTTAGGCCCGTTATTGAGACTTACTACTGAAAACAAAAAGATTCCTTTAAAAATATGATTGCTCCTGTAATCCCAGCACTTTGGGAGGCCGAGGCGGGTGGATCACAAGGTCAAGAGATAGAGACCATCCTGGTCAACATGGTGAAACCCTGTCTCTACTAAAAATACAAAAAATCAGCTGGGCATGGTGGCACATGCCTGTAATCCCAGCTACTCAGGAGGCTGAAGCAGGAGAATTGCCTGAACCCAGGAGGCGGAGGTTGCGGGGAGCCGAGATCGCACCATTGCACTCCAGCCTGGGCAATAAGAGCGAAACTCTGTCTCAAAAAAATATATATATGATTGCTTATTGACAATGTACCTGGCCATCTGAGAGCTGTGATGGAGGTGTATCAGGAGATTAATGTTTTCATGCCTGCTAATAACATCTATTCTGCAGCCCATGGATCAAGGAGTAAGTTCGACTTCCAACCTTACTACATAAGAAATATACTTCCTAAGGCTATAGCAGCTATTGATAGTGATTCCTCTGATGGGTCTGGGCAAAGTCAATTGAAAACTTTCTGGGAGGGATTCATCATTCTAGATGTCATTAAGAACATTTATGATTCATGGGAGAAGGTCAAAATATCAACATTAAGAGGAGTTCTGGAGAAGTTGATTCCAGCCCTCATGGATGATTGAGGGGTTCAAGACTTGAATGGAGGAAGTAACTGCAGATGTGGTGGAAATAGCAAGAGCCTGATGATAGCAAGTAGAGCCTCAAGACGTGACTGAATTGCTACAATCTCACAAAAATTGGAACAGATGAGGAGTTGCTTCTTATGGATGAGTGAAGAAGGTGGTTTCTTGAGATGGGATCTCCTGGGGAGGATGCTGTGAGCATGGTGGAATGACAACAAAGGATTTAGAATATTATGTAAACTTGGTAAAGCAGAGACAGACTTTGAGGGATTGATTCCAATTTTGAACAACTTTCTACTGTGGGTAAAGTGCTATCAAACAAGATCATATGCTACAAAGAAGTCTTTTCATGAAAGGAAGAGTCAATGTGGCAAACTTCACCGTCTTACTTTTAAAAATTGTCACAGCCACCTTAACCTTCAGCAAACACCATTCTGATCAGTCAGCAGCCATCAACATTGTGACAAGACCCTCCACCAGCAAAAAGATTATGTCTTGCTGAAGGCTTAGAGGAGTGTTAGCATGTTTTAGCAAAATAAAGTATTTTAAATTAAGATGTGCGCATTTTAAAAAATATAATGCTTTTTGTACACTTAATAGACACATTAGAAACATACTACTTATTAGTATAAATGCACATGCTCATCAGTGTAAATACAAATTATTAATTTTTTGAGACAGAGTCTTGGTCTGTTGCCCAGGTTGGAGTACGGTGGTGCGATCTCAGCTCACTGCAACCTCTGCCTCCCTGGTTCAAGCGATACTCCTGCCTCAGCCTCCCTACTAGCTGGGATCACAGGCTCCTGCCATCTTGTGTGGCTAATTTTTGTATTTTTAGTAGAGACAGGCTTTTACCACATTGGCAAGGTTGGTCTCGCACTTCTGATCTTGGGTGATCTGCCCGCCTCGGCCTCCCAAAGTGCTGGGAATACAGGTGTCAGCCACCATGCATGGCCTAAAAAATTATTTTTTTATGTACAGTGTGACGACTTAGCAAACTTAACCCTGAAGTGAAAAATAACCTATTCATAATTTGTTAATGTTAGTTTCTTTTCTGTGCGGTGATTTTTTCTTTGAAAACTTTCCAGTGTTGTGGTCTGTGTTCTCTATATTCAAGGTAGCACTAGAGCGAAGTTATCTCCACATGGCAGTAGTGTTTGTTTACTGGAATCTTTGTATCCCCTTTCTTGGTTCGAGGTCTTTTTCTTCCGAGATACTCAGCAAAATTGCTCTCTGATACTTTTTTTTCTAGTAATGAAAAATGCTTTTGTATCTGAGGTCAAGTCATTCTTTTTAAAGAATGTTGCTTTTAGATTGTAGAAAATAATTCAAAATAGTCATTTTTTATTTTATGAATTTGTAATTTAGGTAAGAAAATTTAAATGGTAGCTTTTGAGAAATATTTAGTCCACATCTAATGTCAGCACCAGGCTATCTCTAATACTGGAAAAGGCACATTACTTCTTAAAGCAGTCAGCATGTGTTTTTGTCACAGTCGTTCACCGTGGTAAGACTACGCTGGAAAACTGTGTGCTGCAGTGTGAGACGGCTGGAGTCACAGTGCGGACGTCAGCAGAGTTTCTGATGAAGAACTCGGATTTATATGGTGCCAAGGTAGAAACACTTGTCCTCTTAGGGAAATAGTTTGGGTTTAAGTTGTAAATGAATATATGAAATACGGGACCAAGATATGTGTGCGTATTCCTACTCTCCGGTCATCTCTACCAAGTCAGTCAAATTTAACTGTGCAAGGGTCTTCTCATGTAGCATTTTCAAATCATAGGAACAGAAGTAATAAATCTCACAATTTCTTTATTTAGGTTTAAGGGAGGGTTAGACCATTAAAATTATAACTTTGCAATTGTAGATTCACACAGTATTGTAAGAAATAGCAGGGAGAGGTCCTGCATGATGCCCTTCACCAGTGTCCCCTAACAGTAACATCTTGTGAAACTGTCATGCAACATCACAACCAGAATACTGACATCAGTCCAGTCAAGTGGAAGAATATTCCCATCACCAAAGGAGCTCTTCATGCTGCCAAACTCACCTGCCTCTCTCCCACCAACCTCTTTCTTAACTGCAGGCACACCTTAAGCTGTTTTTTTTTGTTGTTGTTGTTTTGTTTTTTTGTTTTTGAGACGAAGTCTTGTTCTTTTGCCAGGCTGGAGTGCAGTGGCACAATCTTGGCTCACTGCAACCTCCGTCTCCTGGATTCAAGCAATTCCCCTGCCTCAGCCTCCTGAGTAGCTGGGACTACAGATGCACTCCACCGTGCCTAGCTAATTTTTTGTATTTAGTAGAGATGGGGTTTTACCATGGCCAGGATGGTCTCGATCTCCTGACCTCATGATCTGCCTGCCTCGGCCTCCCAAAGTGCTGGGATTACAGGCGTGAGCCACCACGCCCGGCGCTGTTTTTCATTTCTATTTATTTCATAATTTCAAAAGTGTAAAAATGGCATCGCACAGTATGTATGTGACTCTTTGGGACTGGCTTTTCTCACTTAGTGTAGTTCTCTGGAGCTTCACTTAGGTCCTTGTAGGTACCAGTAGCTTGCTCCTTTTTACTGTTGAGGAATAGTCCAATGTGTGGACTATTCCTCAGTTTGTGTAGTGACTTGTAGAAGGATGTCTAGATTGTTTCCAGTTTTTGCCTATTGTCAGTAAAGCTGCCATAAACATTTGGGTATAGGTTTTTTGTGAACCCAGTTTTTATTTAAAAAAAAATTTTTTTTTATTTTTTTTTTTTTTTTTTTTTTTTTTGAGATGGAGTCTCGCTTTGTTGCCCAGGCTGGGGTGCAGTGGTGCAATCTGGGCTCACTGCAACCTCCACCTCCCAGGTTCCTGCAATTTTCCTACCTCAGCCTCCCAGTAGCTGGGACTACAGGCACACGCTGCCACACCTGGCTAATTTTTTTTTTTTTTTTTTGTATTTTAGTAGAGATGGGGTTTTACTGTGCTGCCCAAGCTGGTCTCAAACTCCCAAGCTCAGGCAATCCGCCTGCCTCCGCCTCCCAACGGGCTGCGATTACAGGCACAAGCCACTGCACCCAGCTGACAGTTTTAACTTTTTTAAATTAATTAGTTAATTAATTTTTTCTTATAGATTACTCAGTCTTGGATACGTCAGTTTTTATTTTTTAAGGAGTAAATGCCCAGGGATGCAGCTGTAGGTCATATATATTTAGTTTTTTTTTAAAGAAACTGCTGAAATGTTTTCCAGGGTAGTTGTACCATTTACATTCCCACTAGCAATGTTTGAGTGGTTCAGTTTCGCCATATCTTCAAGAGCATTTGATGTTTTGACTATTTTTTGTTTTAGCCATTCTGATAAGTGTGTAGTAATATCTCATTGTTGTTTTAATTGTCATTTCCTCAGTTGTTAATAATGTCAAGGATTTTCTCATATGCTTATTTCTCACTCTTATATCCTCTTTACTGAAATAGCAATGACTTTTGCCCCATTTTCTGATTGGATTGTTTGTTCTTTACTGTAGAGGTTTGAGAATTCTCTGTA